AATCTTGCGCCATCTGACTGTCCTACCCGGACTTGAATCATCCATTCTTTTTGGCTCCAGCATGGAGGCTCTTAACCTCTATGATTTCCTCCATATTTGCATAACTTACAGTCTCCAAGCTCTTTCCCAGATGCTATCTCATTAGATTTTCGCAGACTTGTGTAGAACAGGTTATATTATTCTTCTTATTGTTCACGTGAGGAAGTTGACCTAGAGAAGAGAATTGCCGAAGGTTACTTGACTAGCATGTGGCAGAACTGTACCCCGAACCCAGAGATTCGGAACTGTACCCCAAACACCAGATCACAGGCTCTTTCCACTCCCCAAAGGAACTCTGGCAGTTTTAAGTGACCACTCCACATTTGAGGCAGAGTGTTTTCCGTGGGTCTTGGTTTACATTCAAAATGCACTAGCCTGTCGAATTGCTGTTGGACATTAGCCCATCCTTAAACAGTCACCATGACAACAGAGACATATGGAGAGGAATGCAGAATGGGCGGGTGAAAACTGACACCAGTCCAGGGGAGGATGGAGTTTGGTGGGGCATGGGGGATGGATCAAATAGCTCATCCTGCATGTTTTGGGTAACTTCACTTCATAATCTAGACTGGAAATGGGTGACAGGGGCACGCACTGTCCTAGGGGCCTTTATCATCCTAATTCATCCCGGACAACACCTCTTATCAACTAAGCACAACCTCCTAGGACTGCATGCTGCTTTGGGGACAGTGTTTCCAGGACATGATTCCTAGGAGGAAGGGTGCTTATGAAACACATAGATTCCTAAGCCCGCTGAGAGCCTATTTCATGAGAATCTCTGGAGGGAGGTCCGATGAAGCAGCATTTTAAACCAGCTATGTAGGTGACTCTGATGTACACTGACACTTGAGAACCACAGCCTTAGGAGGTCACAGCAAATGACAATAACGTCCTGCTTTTACTCCTCCTTTGTGGTCAGGCAACAAGCGGGTTCAGATAAGAAAAATTCCTGGAGGAATAGTTCTTTCTGCCCCAGGGGTGTTTCCTCCCCGAGCAGGTGGGTAAGGACAGTGAGTAGGGTCATCCCTGCCTTCCCTTTGGCTGGGCAGGGAACCCATCAATTATGTCAGTTCTCTTCTCTAGAGAATCATTTGCAGGTAGTATCTCACCTGTATAGTATCATATCTTCAAACTCGCTTCCCATTTGTGATTTGTCATTTCTAACAGTTGGGCATGGGACCCTTCTTCCTTCTTCCTGCCCAGGGCAGACAGAGGGAACAAGGCCAGGATAGCTCAGGGCCGTTTTGGGGACACTTCTGTCCCATCACTCATCTCTTAGTGACCATCAATCCCACTTCTGTCCGTGTCCCAGCCTGTGCCACATGGTGGTGTATGCAGTGGAGACTCCTTCGTCCTTGCGGAACTCAAAACTTTCAGGGAATGGAGACAGTCCATTTCACAAGAACAGAAGCTTCGTTGACTCCTGGGTGTATCCGTTTCACATAAGGTGGCTGGAGGATGCGTATGTTCTGGGGAATCAGGAAGTGAGCAGTGGAGAGGTAGGAGTGGGGTGGGCATGAACCCAATGAGAGGAGGATGCATGTGGCAGACTCACCTGCTGGGCCTGAGAGGCACAGACTGAGCAAAGGGATGCATGGGCCATTATTTCTAAAGCCATCAAAACTAGATGAATGAAAATGAAACCTCTTGACAGGATAGCAAGGGAAAGACGGTGCCAAGGTGCAAGGTCTTCCTTTGTGGGAGGGTGAGAGAGGAGAAGATTGGGGCAGGAGGGAGCATAGCTACTGGCTCACGTGTCTTTGGCAGTGCAGGGTGCCCGGGATGGCGGTGGCAGAGCTGAGCCCTTCCCCTGCTATCCCATGAGCCCTGACAAGAAAGGGAAGCGTTTTGATGGGGCTGCTGGCATGCTAAGGTGTCACTCACCTTCCTGCTCTCCAGGACCCCCATTATTTAAAATCCCATCTCCTGCTCATTAGCCAAAAGCAGCAAAAGAGAATCAGAAAATAGGCGGGTGGAAAGCAAGGGTTAGGGGAGTACGCCAGGTGGCGAAGGGGCTCTCACAAGCTCAGGGCCAGTGTTTCAGAGCAGCAGGACCTGTTTCTCTTCCATTAGGGGCTGGGGGTGGGGGCCACAGCAGCACCTTTGCCCTCAGGAAGCTTATCACTTGGTGTGTGTACCCCTGATTCTGTTTTGTGGCTCCATTCCCTCCTTTTGCCTGGTGCTCTGTAGAACCTACCCCCATGGGGGCAACAATGGAATGACACTGAGTGACAACAGTAGAGTCCAAGAGATGGGCTCCAATGAGTCCAAGAAAGGGAAAAGTGTACAAAAGCTTATAAATAAAGTTTTATCAGAACACAGTCACACACATTCATGTACGTATTGTCTGGTTGCTTTCATGCTACAACAGCTGAATTTGAGTCACTGTGACAGAAATTGCATGGCTTGCAAAGTCTAATATATATGTACCCTCTGGTCTTTCATAGAAAGACTTGGACAGTCCCTCTAGAGTTCTTGCATGTGCATTTAAATGCTTAGCCTTGAAGTGACACACATCATTCAACTCACAACTCACTGGCCCAGCAGTCACATGACCCCGCTCAACCACAGGGAGCCAGGAAGTACATCCTACTGTGTGCCCCAAAGTGGGATAACTGGAATATTTGGCACACAGTACTAGGGACCACCACAACAACCTACTATGTGTCGGACTCAGTACTGGCTGCTGGATATAGAAAGATAAGACAAAATCCCCTCATCTCAAGGAACTCAAGGAATGCCAGAACTGGGGGGTTGAGGGGTAAGGTGAAATTGAGTGGATTCAAGGGTCCTTCCCTGGGATCCAGAGACTCTGTCTTGCCTGAATTGCCTGAGATGGAAGATGCTCTCTCAGCTTGATGTCAGCCAGACCTGGGGACTGGCCGGCTTGGCAGGCAGTGGGGGCAACAGACTTCACTGATGAACATTTATATCAATACTAGAAGGGTTGTTTAACAGGAATTCTTAAAGGAAAGATGAGATAATTTCATGTTTTGATATTCATAAAATTGATCCCGTTGAAAGAGGAGCTCTGCCATGCATATTACTGCTGCTGTAATTTTGGCAAAAATATAATTCAAATTGGCACAGTGTCTGGGAAGGGGGACTCCAGTAAGGAGAGAAGAAGGCTGAGTGGCCAGGAAGCAGAGGCCAGGGGCCAGGGGCTGGTGGCCGGTGGGAGCTGGGAGGGTGGCCCAGGAGCCTTTGCCATGGGAGGAGCTGAGGGAGAGGAGGCTGCAGGTGGCTGAGCCGAGACTGCCTGAGTTTCTGGTGGTGCCGAAGCCTGCGGAGGGGGTGAGAGCAACCCAGGGAGGAGTGCGTGCATGTGCGTGGTGAGGGAGAGACATTTAAACATCGTAGGAATGAAGGATAAATTTAAAATCCATCAAGCGCAGCTGAGACAGAATGCCAACGTGCAGAGCATGAATCACCCCTTCCAGGGACCCACCCAACTGTTAGCAGGATTTGAAATGTATTTTCTCCTCCGTGTCTCCCTATCACGCTCATCCTGGACCCTTTACTTCCCTCGCCGGCTCCCTTGTCCCAGCCCTGGTGGCCAAGTATCTAGCACGGACCAGCATGTCCCCACGGAGGGAAGGCAGGGTCGGGGTGTGGAGGTCAGCGTTCTGGGAGGACCCCTCCCCTGGGGGCCCCGCTCAGTCCCCAGTGTGGAGTGGGTGCTCACAAGGCACTAGGTGAGTGATTTGATGCCAGGGCTCTTCCAAACCCATAGAACACATGGCACATCTTAGAGCCATGGGGGCATGTGTGTGCCCGGTGTGGTCGCTAGAGGCGTGGTTTGGAAGGAGGGTGGGGTGGGGACTGGGGATTTAAGTGTTGAGATCTTGGCTGGGAGGGAGACAGGAAGCAGATATCTTGCAAATGTGGTCAGTTCAGATCCCCTCAAGCCAGGACTGTCCCCAGCCTCAGGCTTGCAGTGGGACCGCCTTCTGAATCCTTTGGGTTCCCTCAGTCCTCTCTGCACATCCTCTCCTGTTCCTCACCCGGCAAGCTCTGTTTAAACCCAGCATAAGGGTCATTGCCTCCACCTAGCCCTTCCCACCCCCTCCAGGTGGGCTGAGATGCCCCCAGTGAGCTCCTATAGCAACAGGCCTACCTCAATCATAGCATGTCACATTGTGCCGCCAAAATAGAAGGTCTTCCTGTTTCTCCCATGCGGAGGACGTGGACTAAATCTAGCTCACCTTGGTGTGCCCAGTTCCTGGCATCAGCCCTCACTCAGTCAGTGCTGATTGAATGAGTGATTCTTTCAGAGGCAAATCTGCCCACATCCTCTTTGACATGGAAAAAGGAAAACAAGGCTTGGACTGGCAGAGGCACCCGATGTCACCATGCTCCCCAGATGTTATGTGGATGCACGCATTAGCAAAGGGGGCAGGAACCCTAAGGAGACCCACTTCTTAAGAACAGCCCGCCCGTGGCTGGTCCTGGGGGAGAGAGTGAGAATCAGGGCAGTGGGTGGGTGGGGCTTCCCCAGGGTGGGTGGGGCTTCCCCAGAGGAGATTAGGACACTGGGGAGAGGGTTAGAAGGAGTCCCTCACCACAAATGGGAGAGAACCGCGCCCCCAGCTGTCCGGGGGGGGGGGGGCTCAGAAGGACAGTCTTTGGCCTTCTTCTGAGAGCAGCACCCCGAGACGTTCATCACTATTGCATGTAATTGTTTCCTTAACCTCTGTCTTCTACACTAGACTGTGACGTTCATGGGGACAAACATCAAGACGACTTTGTTCAGCGCTGGGTACCCAGCATCTGGCACCCAGCCTGGTCCACAGTGGACGCTGCTGAGTTCAGCCACCATTGACTGAGTTCCTCCTGTGTGCCAGTGTCGGGGCCAGGCCTGGGACTCAGCATGGCACAAGCCTGAAGCCTTGCCCTGGACGACAATGGCATTAACCTCTCTTCTCTCTCTCCCTCCTTTCCTCCCTTTCCTCCCCCTGTAGAGCAATGTTCTGTGATGGTGCCCGAGATGCGTGGACTGAGCCCAGGCCGCAGGCTGCCGGAGCCCACGCCCTGCCCGGCTGCGGGCGGGAGCCCTGAGCCCCGGCCCGCGGGACCCCGCTGCCACCACGTGCTGGCCCTGCCCGAGGAGGAGGCATGGCGGCCCCAGCAGTACACCGCCCTGCTCGAGGCCGACGCCTCGGAGGAGGCGGGCATGCTGCCGGCCTCCCCGCGCACCGCTGCTGCCTCCGGCTTCGACAACTTCTTCCCGGTGCAAGAGGGCGAGGGCCCTGGCTGGGAGGGCAGCTCCAGCCCCTTCCTCCCCGTAAGCCCCGAGGTGATGAAGCGGCGGCGTGGGGGCCTCATCGAGCAGCGCGACATCATCAAGGCCCACGAGGCGCACAAGATGCAAAGCACCCCGCAGGCCCGGCGCAAGGAGTGGGAGTGAGTGCTGCGAGGGCACGGGCCGGGCAGCCAGGGACGGGCGGGAGTGGGCAAGGCCCCGCCTGGGCTCAGGGTGGGCATCCCACGGGAAAGGAGGGGCCGGTGACGCAGATGCATATGTCTCTAGAGAGGGGTTCGACCTTCCGTGTGAGGTCCCTGCGGTCAGCCCCAGCTGTAGGCTGCCGTGAACCTCACTGAGGTCTACGGCTGTGAAATGGGGTGAATCAAGCTTGCCTCCCAAAATACACCTAATTTACCAAGAGCCTGTGGAGAAAGAACTGGGGTTTGTTTCACACTGACTTCCCTGAAAAGAGGAGCTCTATAAAACCTTGGATAAGCCACCAAAACGCGAATCCTCTATCTCCTATTTCCTTCTGGAGTTGCGGCTGCCCCGACTCTTTCTAATATCATCCTTGGGTGAATGGTTACATGTGGGGGCAAGTATTCATTCAGGGCATGATAAAGATTGACCAAGTCCTGTGGCCCCCGTGACTTTATCTCTGCTTATTTTGTGTAGAGCAAAAGGCTTTATGTTTTGTCTTAGGCTGCCTTTTAACCCAGTTTGTGCCTGTTGAGGATTTGTGCTTTTATTCGTACGAGTCATAAAAGAAAATAGTAGCTCATTTAAATCTCAGTGGCCCCAGGCTTATCCCCCACTTATCTGAGGACTTTTTGTCCTTTAGATGCCAGTGTTTCTGAATGTCCCGTGGCCTGTACGTGTTTATCTCCTCTTGCCTTCGATTGTTGAGTTGCTGCATGCCAGCGAGTGCAAAGACACCTGGCCACGGTTGCCTTTTGATTGTGGTGATCATGGCGGAATCTACCTACCTGGTTTCAGTGGACATTTTGGATGGTGCATAGCGGGGTAGATTAACTGCTCTGTGGTGGCCTTTTCGATGGGTGTGAATCTGTTAGTTCACTCATTCAGTGAACCCTGGTGTGTGCTGGAATCCTGGCATCCGCAGGGACGTCAGGCATCCGGCCTGCAGCAACCGTATTCTCCCATTGTTCATTTCCCAGCGCTGTTAGTCTCTGAAACCTCAGTAGCTCCAAGCGCCAGCAACATTCTGAGCGCCTTACCCGATATTAACTCATGCTAATCCTCACGGTTACCATGAGGTGGGTATAATGATTATCCATATTTAACCAGTGAGACACAGAGAAGGGAAGTGCTTTCCCAAGATCACTCCAGTAATTACTGCATTGTTATTGTGATTTGTCATTCGTTCCAGATTTGAACCCTGGCAGTCTGTTCTCGAATCTGCGTCTTGAGCCACAGTGGTGCAGGGCCTTTTATTCCAGCCTCATAGCACTTAGCCTCTTATCTCAACCACCCATTGAAATACCATTGCAAGAGCACCAGCTTGGGGCCTAATTCCCAGGGTGTGACCTGGAGTAAGTCACCTCCTTGTGGCTTTGA